GCCAGGCGGGGCCTCTGCGGGCGGCACCCACGCGTGTCCGCGGCCTCTGCGTGGGGCCCGGCCCGGGCGGCCGTGTGGTCCCGCCTCGCTCGCCTCCCCCGCCCCACGTGAGTTTTATTATGCTTTTTGAAGAAGAAGGGACAATAAAAAGTGCATCGTGGATCGGGCACGTGAACTTCCACACGTGGGTCTGCAGCGGCCCGCGCTCCCCTTCTTTCCCCGCGGCCCTGGGGGGGTCCAGCTGGGGACCCCTCGCTCCGGCACCCGGCGGAGAGGGCACGTCGCCGGGCCGCAGTCAGACACCCCACTCCCAAGATCGCCAGCCATCTCCTCCCCGCCACGGCTCGCCTCTCCCTGCCGTAGGATCGCCGAGCTCCGTGGACGCCGGCACGCAGGACCCTGCTGTGAGTGAGCAACCCACCGGCCGCGCTCGGCCCGACCCACGGCCTCCTCGGCAGCTCTTGGCCCGTGCCGGGGACGTAAGGCTTCTTTTTGGGGGGCTTGGGGGTACGCCAGCCTTGTTAAGCTGATGGCCTGGCTGCCGCCCTGCGCCATCCCTCGGGGAGATGCTCCAAGACGGAGCATTGGAGGGGACGCCCATCCTCGCCATGAGGTCCGAGGGCCGTGTCCCCTCCTCGCTGGTGTCTCCGCGCATCCCAAATGGGAACGTACGGGCTGCCATGCTCCGGGCTCTCCCACGCTAGGGTAGATGCATCCTCCCTCCTCGGCCAGCGCTTGCTTATTTCTGATCTTGGATGTCATCAGGGGTGGAAAATGTGACAGGAAGGAAGGGAGGCTTTTTTTCCTCCTGCTAAATATGGACTGACATTAAAATCCAAATACTGTTGTGAAAGGAATCCCAGACCCTGTTTGTTGGAGGAGGGAAAAACGATGTTTTCTGGCTTTTCGGCTGTGAGGTTCCAGCTGGGAAGTTTCGCAAGGAGCGGCGCGGTCCTTGCCGAGAGCCTCAGGAATTTACTTTGCTTGTTCGCAGGACGCTCTCCACAGCCTATTACGCTAAAAAAATTAGTCATCCCTTCTCTGCCTGTCTGTGGCTGGGGGAGCTTGCTGTGAGCATGCAGGATGCTTTGAAAATATTTAGCGATTCTTCCTGTCCTATACAAGGACTTCTAGAACTGAAAGGGATGTGGGCAGATAAAGCTGCAGCCCCAACAGGAGTTTTTCGTCTTTCTTTATTTTAATTCCTGTTGCTGCAGCAGCTGGTGGCAGGGAAGGAGGTGCACGGGGTGGCTGCAGCCGATGCAGGGAGCTGCCGGCTTTGCAAGGAGGATTTATGTCTCTCTCCATCAAGAATCAAATGCAAACTCATGCCGTTATTCCCACGGTGAGGTTGGGAAACCGGCTTGATGATGAGGAATAGGACCCCAGGGATGGTCACAGCACAGCTAGCTCCCCCAATGACTTCTGCCGTGGCCAAGGTGAAGAGCCAGGACGTTTTGGGGGGTGGGGCGGGGGCACGGACCACAGCTTCACTGGGACCTGGGGATGCTGCGTGAGGCAGACTGGGTGTCTGTGCTGGGGAGAAAATGGGCGCTGCCCCGTTCCCTCTCCATGTGTTCCTCTCCATCCCTTTTGGAGAGCTTTTTGGGGAGGTGTCTGTGGGAAGCTCCAGGGCTTTTGCCTGATCTTTATAAAAACAGTTTGCTAAAGCAGTGGGGGGATACTGGGAGGTGCTGAAAATAGATGTTTCCCGTTTCCAGGGGCATTGCTGTCCTGGCGTTGGTGCGGCTGTATTGTTTTCAAGCTAATGGGATACATAGCTCCGCTTTTCTGAAATGTCACTCTCAAATAACTGATGCTTTGTGCGGATCCGTGATATTGGTCCCAGTCCAACATCAACATCCTTGTGGAAGAGTAGTCTGAATTCCCTCTCTCCCCGTCTCCTCCCGCCGCCGACCTACATCTGTTCTCCTCCAACCCTCTGTGTTTGCAGCAGAACAGCAGATCCCGATCCGGTGGGAAGGGCACAGGTTGCGTGACCTCTGCCATGCTCAGCCCGCAGGTCTGCTGTAACTGCTTTGGGTAGGGCAGTGCTGAGCCACGGTTGCACGGTAGGGGTCTGCCTGATGTCTTGAAACGCTGGGGAGCGTGGGGTGGGTTATTTCAGGTAGAACAGAGCACCCGTAGGGTTAGGAGTAGTACAGCAGATACACAGGCTGCTGGCTGGTACTTTATTCTTGATGTTATATGAGAAGGAGGTCAGCCCTCACGGCTGCTTTCTGGTCTCATTCACAAATCGTGTTTTCCTCTTGAAATAAAACAAATCCCCGGGCTTTCCTGTCGTGGTGGAAATCATTTGAATGTGACCAGGTCCATAAGCATCTCCAAAGCCTGCGGACAGGAAGAAACACTAGAGCGAAGAGGTAGGAAATGTCCGCATTTATAGCAGTGGGCTGATTCATCTCCCTGCTCTTAACTCTTTCCCTCCTGCTTTTGGTGAGATCCAGCTATTTTACTTCCAGGCTTGGAGGCCGAGGAGAATATCACCAGCTCTCTTCTAGCAGGATCGCAACGTGCTGCTGGGTTTTGTACGTTGTGTTTATGTGGTTTGGGGTGGAAAAGGAATGGGCTGTTGGGGGTGTGCGGTTATCTGAATCGGATAACCGGAACATCGGCAGTCACATTAGGGAGGATTAATATTTAATATATGGGGTATGAACCATTGTGCTTAATCACTATCTGAAGGGCTTAGGAAGAGATTTACTGATAAGCAAGCGATTCCCGAACTGTCCAGAATGATTTCTTGCATCTTCCTCAGGAGCAGCTGGTCCTAGATATCGCTAGACGCTGGCCTGATCCTGTTCTTTTGTAAGTGGGTAGAGTGGCTTTTATCACAAGTGCTTTCTTCTCATTAAACTCACAAAAAATGCTGGAAAGCCTTTTTCTCTGATACAACTCACGTGACTGTACTGTAAGCCGTAGTACCTGGCAGTGCTTGAAACTCGTGTGTAGCCAAAGCTCGTGGGAAACATGTCGTGGCCTTGGCAGACGCCGTCACTGTCGTGTACATCTGCCCAGCCACGAGTCCAGAGCTGGCTTCTTCCTGCTTTACTCTGGCTAATTTCTTCAGAAGACCTTGAATTTCATCCGTGTCTCCAGCATGGCTCTGGAAACCCTTGTGATGGCGGTGCTGCTTCCCATGTCTGCCCCACGTTGACCCATGTGGGATTTGTGGTTTTTTTCAGGTAAGTTGTTTTGTAGTACAGCGAGGTGGGGGCTGCCCCTCCGGGTTGGGTGCCGCTGTGTTCGTGTGGGGAGGAGGTGATGGCGGGGAACACATCAGGGCACACAAATAATCCATCTCCATCACCGTGTGTCCTGTGGGACTAAATCTAACCGCGCGCTGTACAACTGCAGTTGGTGGGGCTGTGTGTGTCCTGCAGGTTGGTGTTGAGCCAGTTTGAGGTTGGGAAGTGGAGGGCGTGTGACTCTGGTGGGACTACGGGGACTCGACTAAATTTGAGGGTTGTGTCTCTGTCGTGGGAAACCCTGCTTTAGGCTGCAGGAGGGTGCGTGCCTGTGCCCCCCTTCCCTCCCTGCCCCAAGTGAAAACTCGCCTAACTGAAAGCATCAGCCGTGGCCGTTAAACCCGCTTTTGCTGTGGTTACACATATGGTACTGCTGTGTTTATGGTGGCTGCCGTTTTGATGGTGGAAGTCGAAACAACTGAGTGTGGGTTGGGTTTTGGCGTGTTGGTCATGTAGGAAATTCTGGTGGCTACTGTAACAGCCGTGGCGGTTAGAAATTTTAAAAAAAATGGAGTGGGTACTGCTTTTTCCCCAAAACTTGTGTGGGAGAACACCCCTTCTATTCCATGTGCAAACAGATCGCTTGCTTAGGCAGCGAGTCCTCTTTATTCCAGAATAATTTGTTGTCCTAATTCTTTCCTGTTGAAGTAACTCCATTTTGCATGGAATAATTAGTACTAATTTGGACCTGGGATGGAAAACAAGAGTTCTCTGACTTCAGAAGAGTAGACAAGAGCATAACCTCTGCCTCTCCTGCGTGAGTCAGGTCGTGCCATGCCATCCCTCCTCTAAAGCAAAATTAAAACCTGTACCTGAGACCAAAC